GACTAGAAATATCTGACGATGTGTAATGAAAAATGGAAACCGTACTGTCTGTTGCCACAAAATGTGAAACTTTTCCACACTCTTCACGGAAATTTAATTGGAAAAATGCACTTTACTTATGAACCTACTTTAATATTGTAGGGGAAATGTACACAGAGATCTGTGCAAAGACAGAATTCACTTTGAACCGTTGGAATTCTATTTCAATAGATTAAAAAGATACGTTGTCTTTGTCTGTGCGAATGATGCCATAAAGCTGGTAGACGTTGCTTTTCTTTTTACTTTGTATCGAAATTTCGCTTCAAATACCGTTAATACAAAGCGGAAAATCGTTTGTGGATTTTTTTTTTGTTGCCTTATAGACCGTATGTGTTGAGCGTACCAACGCTTTGTCGGTTCTAATTCACACTCGCTTACACTTGTTTCATATCAACAGGGTGTGACATAAGAAGGTATACATATATATACTTTGTCTCTATGATTAACAACATAACTGATCTTAATCAACATTTTTAGATATTTAAAGTTGTATGGGGTTTCTATCAAAAACATATATCGGATCAGGAAATCTCTACGGCTCTCTTTAAGTTAATAATTGATCTGAAGTTTGATTGATCTTAGTTAAGTTAAATCGATTTTATATAGAAGGCGCTGATCGGTTTTTGGTAAATGCTGTCTTTACTAATGTTTATACTACCTCTAGTTGTATGTAGGATGTTTCGAGATTTTATACGTTATGTTCAGCTAGAACTAGTTTCGTATTTCCTAAGAATCATAATTTTAACTAGCCATTAAAAACGATGATGCTCAGCCAATTTCCCGCCCACTCTAAATCAGAACCGTTACATCAATTTTCATTAAGCGAAATCGATCCAGCCTAAAATAAATTTTAATTAATAATTAATGACTCACTAAAAAGAGGCTTCCATAAAAGTTTACTTTATGATGATCGACTACATAACTTAAACAATGTGGTAATGACAGAGTAGAATATATTTTGTCACCCTACTTTTCTCGCAGGACTCGTAAGAACCGACTAAGGAACTACCTGCCTGACAGAGACCATCTCTGTCAACCCTGGCAGAGACCAGACAATCTTAGCCAAACGTGTCTGTACTGCCACGAGCCATAAGCGCGCTCTCTGATAAACTATACCTTCAAATTGTAGTCTCCAAGTGTTGAGACTATGAAAAACTATCTTAAGTAGATGTAGATGGCAAGTAATTCAGCAGTGACGCCACGTGCTGTAAATGTTGACTGACTTGCTTGAAATATATTTAGCGAGTTTAATAATACAAAAATAAGATACACACATATCTACTTCAATCAGTAAATAATATAAAAGTACTCAATTTAGATCTGTCAAAAGTCAGAAAAACATTACAATGTACTTATGAGTACAAATAAAAAAACATTAAGCCTATTTTCTTTCAACAGTGTGAGCAGTAACTTTTGTGACCTTTAGGAGTTTTATTATTAGCTTCATGTACATTGGGAGAGAGATTTCTGACAGGTATGATGTGTTACATTATTTAAAATGCTATTTCGTGTTCTCAGATATTATGTGAATATTTCTAGAATGCGATAAATAGATACGAGTATATTGTTCTTTATTAACGAAGTTAGTACCGATAGCCTTAAGAGGATCTCCAATTCTTCATGTTATAAGAAATAATAAAGTATGAAGGATAATGTTACGTCCTCAATTTTAATAATTATGTTGATAAATGTTGAATGTGTAGCTTTTTATTGAATTATAATTGTATTGGAATTCATAAATAATTTGTTTGTATTCGAAATTCCGTGCTTTAATAATTATTTAAGTAAGTACATTATTATGGGAAGTGGTAAACATGAACGAGAGCCACGTTTGCCCATTTATACAACTTTACCGTTTAATCAAATTTCGTAAAATACGATGTGAAAATAAAATGATGTATTTCACTCTGCACTTAATTAAAATCTCAAAAGCGAACGGATAAATACAATTAAATCTCATTATGACCACATATTACATTACGTTATGCGACCATTTTGTTTATTTTCGGTGATATTCCCTACCTATTATCGAATTCCAAAATTACTGAAACGTAAAAAAACCTTTTTGAAATAATGAGAGTTATTAATGAGATTTCATATTTAGTAGTTCGTCTTCATAATAATACTAAAAAAAACTTTCAAAACCATACATCACTATGCAAGTCACATATTTTCCTCACAGTTTTCAAAGCAAGTTTAGGCATCCGTATAACATAAAACATTGTACCTAATCTGTTCAAGTTTTAAATTACTTATACCTTCAAAAGTTTTTCAGAATAAAACGCGTATTTCTTTTCAACATTCAACTTCTTCTTGAAGTATAAAGTTTGTGTAAATAAGCTAAGTGGTGAAGGAAAATTGTCTTTATTTAAGCTGAACTTTATCGAGCATCTGAGAGCGTTTGTCAACATTTGACGCCCCTCGAGTTTCCAAGAAAGGCACTATAGATTTATTGGACAAAAAGTGAAACAATATTTTAGTCCATTTCATCGAAATAATGGATATAGTTTGTGGCCTTTGAAGTGATAAATATGTAGATTCAGAAATCTTAAGTTAGTGAATGGTTCTGACGTCTAATTTGACGACTTAATTGAATGTCTCAAGTAAACTATTTGAATCTATTCTCAGGCTTCATTCGAATCGAATATTTTGTTTTTAGAAATTTTCTCTGAATGATTTCTCGATGGATAACTAGGTAGGAACAGCCTACCGAGTTCACAGTAATTGGCTCGACCACTATTACACAAGACGCATTGTAACAAAATTGGTGGTAAAGTGTTACATTGTGTTAGTGCATTTTATTAAAGAACCGAAACTCAAGATGTTCCTACTTTGATTATTTGTACAGTTGCTAAACCGACTTTCATATAATATAACCGTAACTGAAACATAATAAATTAATGATCAAAATGAAATATAAACAGATTATTCTTGAAACACGATTTAATATATTTTCGATTACCGGCAACAGCAACCACTACATTTTCACACAACCCTCACAATTTGTGGTCGCGTTTCTGTGAAAATGTTCGAAACTGTTGAACATTGAACTGAATCGCTTTACGAAGTGTCCAGTCATTATTTTATCCAATTATTAACAACAAAAAATGTGTATGAACATCATGAGTACAAATTGCACTAAATTAACACATCGATTTGCATTTTTGGGAAGTTTGGTAGCAATTCGTGATCATTTAGAACATCTGCGAATAATAAAATGGTGTCTAATTATTCGACTGTTACGTTGGTCTTATAGGCACTAAAATAACTTTTGCCACGGCATCAAGCCACAATTTTATCAATTGGACGAGATATTATAAAGTTTCTTAGTATAAGTCAACTAAGGTTAGGTGTCTATGTTATTATATATTTTCAAAAACAAAAAATAGCCAAGTTTTCAGTCAAAATGATTTAAAGTAACTCAACTTTCCTGAGAAATACTTTTAAATTTGCCTTTGGAATATTCAGACTAATTCACTGAATTTCAAAGAAGTTTACTAATTTGACAAGACAGTATTATTGTTTAAAAAAAATGACAGTTAAAAATGAATTTAAGGTCAAAACAAAAGTGATTCAAATTAATTAGATGAAGACAGCAAGTTAACGACGTCGACACTTCAACGTTAACATAATGCTACTCATAATTATGAGACCCGTGCTTACCTTGAAACTCGTCGAACGCCATCTAACATTTACATGAGTAAAATACCATTTAAATAATTAATTTAGAACATCTCATATGATTCACATACAAACTTTTACCTATTCGAAGTCCGGAAATTGTTTCAAGTAAGTCAATCGAATATGTAATTTATTACGTTAAAGGCACGGTCACATATCATTAATTTGAAACCCAAACGTAAGGTAAATGCTGACTCACTCAAAAGTTTAGACTGCAAATAAAATGGAACCGTGGTGAAAGTTTTAGGAAAACTTACTTACGTTTGGATAAGATCCAAATGGTCACTGGTGACCGCTTTACAGCATTCTAGACCTTATTTCTGATATTTAGAAACTACTTTTGTATTAACAAATGCTGTGGCTTTTTCATAATCGGACATTTATAAGGTTTATAAGGTCAAAGTTAGCGTAAATTTTGGTTTTTCTGTCACTATTCCCCTGAATATAATTATGGGTGAGTTGTGTGGTTTAAAAAGTTTGATTACTTTGTTTTCTAATCTAATGAGTCTTGTGATTTAACATAACATAACATCACGCCTTTTATCCCCAAAGGGGTAGGCAGAGGTGTACACTACGGCACTTAATGCCACTGTACACTGTAACACCCAATTTCCACTATTCATATTATGAGTCTCATGTAATGCACATTTCCAGACTTCGTGCTACTACTGAGATTTAAAAAAAACTCGGTTATACTTTTCCCGACCCGGGGATAGAACCCGAAACACTAGGCCAATGAGGCATATTTTTTGAAGTGCTTATAGTTTTGTTGCTAGTAGAAGCTAGACCTAGCTTTGTTCAATAGAGGACATCATGATAATAAATAATACAACACGTAAAAGTATTTAAATTTTAAAATGTTTGTAAGAAGAAAAAAATGAAATATTTTAAATAAATAAAGCCTTGAAATTTTTGCAACATAAAAGTGGTACTCAAAAAGTAACCAAAATCCTCACTAACAGAACGAATTATGGAATTAAAATCAGCGCCGAATACAACATGAGTAATGCACATCCATTTACAAAATGTATTAAAATTCCCCAATGGGTTTGAATGCTATAAAAGCCTTTTTTAATATCTGTTCTGTTTCAACAAAAACATCTTTTTAAACGAAATATTATTCCTACTGTTTTGATGAGTTCAAAATACTTCCGCTTACAGTAAAAATATTTCTCGTTGGTAGACAATAAGCGTAGTCATAAAACCCAGGTTGAATATAAGATAAAGAAATCTCAACTTTATAGAACAATATTTTAATATTCATTTTCTTTTGTCAACAGTTCCTTATGATCAAGTGGATACTGATTCAGCTTTGGTACAAATGTTTGCTCAAGTGAACGCCCCAACGTGCAAGTACATTGTCGCTATTGGCGCTTTGGCTGGTCTCACCGTCTCCATGTTCGGCTCTATGTTCCCGATGCCCCGAATTGTCTACGCTATGGCTAGCGATGGATTGATTTTCCGGTAAGTTCTTTTATACATTTACAGATTCACAAAAAATTTGCTTACCACGTACAAAAATCATTAACATAGAAGATGTTCGTAGAATTTATCTGACTGTCGCAAAAATCCAACGAAACAAAATTCCGCGAAACATCTTTCAATAAAACGTAAACGTAAAACATAAACACCAAAAATCGTGGTTAGACTGCTTGATTAAAAAACATTAACCTTTCTACGTGTCCATTTGACATTATTTCACGGCTTCGGTTCGTCTAAAGTAATCCCTGTATAAAGGCTTATTGAGTCGTATCACGCAAGCTTATATACAAACTGACATTTGATTTAATATTTTCATATCTTCACTAAATTGGTTCTACCCTGTATCAAGCAAAAAACAAATATAGGTAGACGACGTCTTGTGTAATGTGGATATCGCGTTGTTACTTTATTGTGCGCATTGTAAAACTTAAATACAGAATATGTATTATTAGACATGGGCTTTAGAATAGTAATGGTAAGTAGAGCCAAAACAATAATTAAGAATAAGAATAGAATAAAAACAAAGAAGAAAGAATTAAACAAACAAAGTGTGTAATTATTACAATCATCTCCGAACTTTATAATCAAGGTACATTTTCTAGACACATGCATCTAAATCAATTTCAAATCCTAGTACTAACCTTGGTTAGACAAACTTGAGTCCTATGCGCAAACTTTCATGTTAACTGAAAGTTTCGACCTAATTAGTAGCACCTAAGCCACACGGCGTATCTTAAAGGAATACGTACAATTACGAGACATCTTCTAACTAACTATGTAGTTCAAGAACTTTCCTAACTAACGGAGACTGTGCTAAAGTAACCACGATGTTGGTTGTAGTAACCGATACTCTTTGACGGGGTTCAAACCCCATTCAATACTAAGTAGAACTTTTACTGCAAACTTTATTAGGAAACATGAGATTAATAAGTTTAAAACTAGTTAGGATGCTAACAAACTTGTTCTTTACTACCTGTTTTGATGTAGTTTTAATATTTCCTCTGTATATTTATCGTCTATCAATGAATTACCATTACATAATAGACTTTCTCCGTGTTCCCATGTACACTCTGTATACCAATCAATTTCCGAATGTTAGTAAATAATTTGCACAAACGAATAAACCGCTAACTTGAAACTAACTGCGAGAAAATTGAATGCATTTGAATACCAATTTTCATCTATTTGCACAATTGTAAAGTCTTGGCTCAAAAGCACCCTGTTTCAATATAATTTTCTCTAATAATTCATCAGTTATTACTAAATAAATACACATTTCAAATTAATAATCTGCAAACGTGCATAGTAGTAAACCCCTATTTATTTATGAATAGTGTTCTATTCAAATTGATGAATAGTATGAATAATATTGCACTATGCATTGATAACGATGTCACACAGGTCTTGGTTGGTTGATTACCATGTATGTGTAACTACCATTAATGTTTCGATGAATAGAATTTTGATGCAGCAGCAATGAATTTGGAACTATTGTTCTAGGTCATAAATAGTAGATTGTAGAATTTTATCAAAGTTGTGGTTTAATTTATTACGATTTCTCTAGTGCTTCCGATATGAAATACTTAATCGTCGATCGTTTTTATTTTGTTGTAACTATGCCTCTGTATTACATTATACATACGGTACATCATAAAATTATACTATTTAACTTCACAGAGGATTAATAGGTAACAGAGAAATTGCCTACAACTAGTATGCTAAAAGCAATATTTTTTT